AGAAAAGAGGGAGAGGAAGAATAAAGTGTATTGACAGAAGGACAAACAGAAGGGACCCGTGGTGCCCTCCCCGGAGCCCAGCAAATCAGAAAGGTCCTCGGCACAGAGCCTGACACCCCTCAGTTCCTCCCCATGGTGCATACCTTGTCTTAAGAATGCCCCACTACAGAGTAGCTGCTTCAAAGTTCTCCCCGAAGTCCCCAGGGCCACAGCACTTGGACCCTGTGCTGGTCATGCCCTGTCCACGCATGGGCGGCTGGAGAGCTATGGTCCTCACCCGGGAGGAGCCTGCAGCGGGGACGTTCTCTGTTTGTACATGGGCAGCATCTATGGGGGGCCCCCCCGCACACTCGCAGTGAAGCAGGCCCTCAGGCTTGATGTGTGTAAAGCACCTGGGCAGAGGCAGAATTCTCTCCAAAGGGGTCAGGGAATGGAGGGGGTGGCAGAACTGCTCTATGTCTTGACTGTGGTGGGGTTACTTGACCACATGTTTGTCAAAACTCACAAAACCATACGTTAAGAAGACTGAGCCCTGGCCGGTTGCTCAGTGGTTAGAGTGTTGGCCTGCAGACCAAAGGGTCGTGGGTTCAATTCCCCGTCAAGGGCATGTACCTCGGTTGTAGGCTCCATCTCTGGCCCTGATCTGGGTGTGAACTGGAGGCAACCAATTGATGTGTCTCACATCGACGTCTCTTTCTTTCTCTGCCTCTTTCTCTCTCTCCCTCCCCTCTCTCTCTATCTTCTTCTCTCTCTCTCTCCCTCCCTCTCCTCTGCACTCCCCTCCATTGTCTCTAAAAAGTTAATGCAAAAAATATCCTCCAGTGATGATTTTTTTTAAAAAGTGAATTTTATCTTAAAAACTCAATTATATAAAAACTGAAATAGTATTATGAATTTAAAAAGTTAGGCTGGAACACTAAGCATAACCTGGACCTGCCCTGGACAAAGAGAGACATACCTTCACTATTATATGTCTAACACACAATTTTGCACATGACAGATGATCAATAATTGCGTCGATTGGGGAAAAAAAGCACTTGGAGATGAGTGTTGACATGCAGATTCCTGGGCCCCACTTTCTGTGTGTCTGGGACTCAGGGATCAGCATTTGTAAGGAGCTCCTGGTGGCCAGCAGTTCCGTGGACCACACCTGAGATACTGGGTGGGAAGCCCAAAGGTTCTCAGTACTATTCTCCCTGTTGACCACCCTCGATCACTTGCCACAGCCAATTGCCTGATTGTCCCTCAAACGTGGAGTATGCCCCCCGCACCTCCTCTCCTTCGCTCTGACATTCCACTTCCCTAGCATTGGCTCTATGCTTGCTCAGCTCTTTCTACCATGGCCGGCTATGGGCTAGAGAACATTTGGGGGCTCGAGGACTGGAGACATGCTCCCGAGATGGCAGAGCAGAGTGCCCAAGTCCAGGAGTCACAGAGCTTGAGTTTGAAGAGTGGGACGGAACACACTACATGAGTCTCTCATCAGTGAAGGGGGCAGTCACTACCTACAAGATGGCACTGAATGTGTTACTAAAATAGAAATGGGTTAATCATCAGCAGCATCTTGCTTCCCTGCCTCAGCCCGGCCAGGCCTCTGGCCTGAGTGCTCAGAGCTGTCTGTAGGCGGGGCCCCAACCTGTGGCCCTGGACCTCACTGCAGCCTGTTACACGGCGGGGCCCTCAGGCAAACTGCTCAGCTTAGAGCAGCCCCAGAGCCATCGGAAGTGTTAAGGGGTCAGGAAGATGCTCCATGCCCCTGAGCCCCTCAGGGCAGCACTGCCCACCCCTTTCTCTCTTTTTGACCTTTGCCACCAAGGGAATCAGAAGCAGCAGTTGGGGAGGGTAAGGGGGTCGGCTGAGAGAGAACACAGGGAGGGGCTGCCAAGAAGGCCATTCCCACAGCCTCTGCCCCTGAGGGGCGACCTTGGCTGCTCTAGCGTGGGGACCCCCCAGACCTGGGCCCAGGATGGCAGCAGCCTGCAGCGGGGTGAGGAGCTGTCACATCCTTGAACAAGACTCTGCTCTAAATGGGGTCAAGCTAACACCAAAGGCTGCTGTGTCCTTGATATCCTATTTTTAAATGAAGGTTAGGCTCAAAAAAGAAATAAATGTTTGTCTAATCCAAATTAGTAACCAGACCAAACCAAGGTTGGTCATGAGCTCGCTGGCAGACACCCACCAGCGAACGGGCTCTCTGAATGGCTGGGAACCATTTCCATCTTGTTGACAAACACCTGTTACAAGACAGGAAATTACCCTCCTCAGTGCCTATTTTATCTCTGTTTAATTGCTGTTTGACAATAAATTACAACAGAGTCCATTAATTAAGCTAACAATGTCCATGGAACACCAATTCCTTCTTCTGGGAGTTGCCTTATTACAGAGCTTTGAATTAGTCTCCATTAACCCACAGCACTTTATGAAGCAGTTTTAAAAGATGCCCAGGCACGTGACTGGTGGGAACGACTCCTGGCGTAGAGGGAGCTGTTAGGAGGAAGGAGAGAAACCTTGCAGAGCCAGGGGAGGGGCAGCCTGGCGGCCAGAGGGTAGTGCCGAGAGTGCACTCTAATTCTGAACACGTGGTAGAGCAAAACACACCATTAGACTTACTTTAAAGTATCACCCAGCCGGCATGGCTCAGTGGTTGAGCATCGACCGACCTATGAACCAGGAGGTCACAGTTCGATTCCCGGTCAGGGAACATGCCAGGGTTGCAGGCCCGATCCCCAGTGTGGGGTGTGCAGGAGGTGGCCAATCAGTGATTCTCTCTCATCATTGATGTTTCTCTCTCTCCCTTCCTCTCTGAAATCAATAAAAATATATTTTTAAAAATCAGTTGATGGGAGACAAACACGGCCGACTTATAGTATGCATCCTAGAACTGGAGGCAGCAATGAACAGCCTAATTTGGTCTGCCAATCCATAATCAGCTACGTGGCAAGAGCATCCATCTCTCTCTGAACCCCTCCAGGTCTCTGTGCACAGTCTAAACATATCATCCCCCAAGGTGAGCCCTTCAGTGACTCTCCATTGCCCTCAGGATCAAGTCCCAGCATCCCTGGCATCATCTGGGAACTTGTTAGAAACACAAAATCTCAGACCCTACCCCAACCTCCTAACTCAGAATCTCTGGGGGTGGGGCCCAGTAGTGGGTGCTTTCACAAGCCTTCCAGGTGATTCCCCGGCACACTGACGTGTGGGCACCTGTGCTGTGGGGCATTATCAGGGCACTGCAGATCTGCCTCTCCATCTCCCTTCTCTCAGCACTTCTTTCCCTCTTGCATTCTAAGCCCCAGGCAAACAGGGCACCTCTGTCTCCCAGCACCCAGCGCCCTGAGCTATCTTGCTCCTTCCACACTTACTATGCTGTAGGCTTCCTGCCTCTTTACTTGTCTCTCCCCCTCAAGGGTAAACCACTTGAGAACAGGGTGGATATCTTATCAGCTACCAAATACAATTGTGACTAGCACCCGCAGTAGGTGATCAAGATTTATCTGTTGAGAGAACTGAGTGAATGAATGGATGAAGACACTCACTGGATTCTTTGATGCTAATGCCCCATTTCCCAATGGGAAGGAGCCCGTCTACCCAGGCATTCTCCTGCTCTCCATGGCAGTTTTAGACAATTGTAAATTCTAGTAGGGCCCAGTAATCAATCTTGAATTAAAGAGATTACATTTGAACTTAAAATGCTTTGGTTGTGCTAGAGGGCTTGGATTCTAGCCTGCTTTGCTAACAGGCACTTTTCCCTTCATGCCTCAGTAGCTGTCTGCTACTTCCCAGAGTGGTTGCAAGGACCAAAGGATTCAAGACTTGACTTGTCTGGCATTTCTCCTTCGAAGGACCTCTCACCTTGAAGGGCCGAGGGTCTGGACTATGAGAACTACTTGTGGTGATAGTAGAGGGAACACAACTCTTCTTTCCAGGTCCTGGCTTAATGGGAAACAAAGTTCTCTGAGCAGACAAAACTGTGAGCCTTTATGAATGCATGCGTGAGTACTTGAGTATGAATGTAAATTTACATGTGAATAGGTGTGTTCATAGGACATGAGAGAGACAACGGGAGGTTTCAGGGTAATCTGTCCAGTGTCTTCCTTTCACAGGAGAATCTGTGAGTCTGGCTTTGAACCAAACATCTAGTACTCCTCTGGAGCTGAATAATAAATGTTTTCCCAAGTTGTAGCTTGCCCTTTATTGCTATTGATTGACATAAAAATGTTTTAAATTTTTATGAATGGCAAGTGGAATGACATTTTTGGATATGCTGATTCCCAATCTTTGAGAATTTCTGCTAAGCTCTTTGTGTGTGTGTGTGTGTGTGTGTGTGTGTGTGTGTGGACACACGTGCGAGCGACCTATTGGCCACCTCCTGCACACCCCACACTTTGATTCTTAGAAAGCCCTTCCTTCCCTCCCCGCCCCC